AAAGGCTGCCATAGACTAAATCAGAACCTACAAGAAATCATAGCCGCCATACCACAAGAATGGGTACCGACACTCAAAAAGGACAGACAGTGGACCACAGGAGACTGGGCGATCCTATTGAACGACCCCAACGGAAACACGCACTAGCATACTGGGCAGAGAAGAGGACAATCATAACTGGTACATATTTACTATGCACGAAATAGAAGAACCAGGTTCATACCACAGTAAGATCCACAAAAACCAAACAACACAAGTTTCAGTTCGGGAGGATAACCTAAGGAAGTTAAGAGTAACAGAAAACGAGAAGCTAACCATATACTGCCCCCAAACTCCATTAGAGAACCTAGAAGTGGACCCAGCAGAATGGGCATGGAACCCAAAGCAAGGAACCTTAGGAATCAACATCAAATTCGATCTGTTACAATACACAACCAGATTAGCCTACAGGCTGAGACACCGTTCCCGCAAACCCGGACCCAATAATAGCAGAGCGATGGAAAAGACAACTGGATGTAGAACCGGATGCACTAGACCCAATACCATGGAACAAAATAGCATCTATTAATCCGCCCAAAATTTAGAAGCCTACAATGGCTAATCCTTTACCTAGCAGTCCCACTGAACCAATGGCTAAATGTACGAAGAAAAAAAGAAGACAAGTCAGCTGAAAGAACTATGTGCCAACTGCAATGAGGGTCAATTAGAAAACTTATATCATTGTTTCCTACAGTGTCCTAGAATAAAATAACTATGGCAAAGGGCAGCAAGTCTATGGAATACAGGAACAGGCACAACTCTCACAAGCAACACCACATTCCTACTCCTAGGTTTCAACAGTCCAGAAAACTGGAAGCCGCTAGAATCCAAATTCTTCAGAATACTTAGAAAAGCCATACTATGGGTAATATGGCGGAAAAGGTGCCAAGAAACAATAGAAAAAAAAAAGTGCACACACAAGAAGCGAGAGGACTACAACAACAGATAGAAACCGAATACTGGACCCTATGGCGCAAAGTACGAAGGAGGATGGAAGAAGACGAAGACAAAGCCAGGGAACATCAACACACTTTCGAAGCAAACTTCCTAGCAAAAGCAAGGTTGCTCTGATCCGAGGCTCAAGTATAGTATTTCGATTATGGCAAGAATCCCCACCAAGACTCCATTCATAAGACCCCTCAGTAAACAGCATCCCCGAGTCCCTTGAAGCCAACATATTCTCAGATTAGAACCCAAAACAGGAACTCTCCAATCTAACCAGCCCCGACGAGTGCGGCAGCACAAGACCCCGCATTCAACAGGGACAGATATATCAGGAAAGGGGAAGTAAGTCCCACGACAAGCACAGATTCAAGATAAACAGAGGACATAGGGAGGTAAGCTAGCAATCAAGACAACAAGTACGTACGCTATGGAGGAGAAGGAACTAGACAAACCCTAGGACTTCACCAAAGGTATTCTAATAGTACGAAAAGGAGCAGAAGTGTATAAGATAGAAATAAATGACCTAAGCAACAGTGTTAGCGACTAAGGCAAATCCGACAGCCCAGAAGCTGATAGAAACAGACTGGAAATAGGAAAAGGGATAGAACACAGCGCATAGCGCCCACAAAAAACAAACCCCCCGTAACAAACTACGTACAACGGACGACCCGAGAAGCCTAGGATTTAGGGTTTAAGAGAAGGCAAAGGGCAGAAACCGCAGTACAGATAGGAAGTAGAGTACCCGGCAGCATAAGAGCTGATAGAGAGGGAGGTTAGAAGATAAATCCCACAGTACCCAAGAAGTAAGCAAGTTCATACAAGTTCCTAGTTATGACCGGGTTGAGCTGTGTAGAAACAAATTTTAAGCAAACCCTTGATGCCAGCCCCAGACATCAGCTCTAGCATTCAGGTTTACCCGACAGCACTCAGCTGAGAAGAGCTAGGAGCTAGGCAACTCAGATCAGAAGGTAGTGGATACAGGCCAACTTAGGCAGGGGTGAGGGGTGGTACATCCTTCCTTAGGGAAGTAATCAATGCCGTCCACTCGGGCCTCTCAGCCATAATGGGGAGGAGTGTGCGCGTGTATTCATTGTATTCATATTTGACTTGCCAGGGGAATAGGAACCGGACTGTTACTCCCCAGAATGGCAGGAGCCAGAACTGAGAGGTTCTGTATTTTTTCAAAAAAAAAAAAAAAAAAAGACATCATTGATTGTCAGACAAGATATCCTTTCTCTTCTTTTGTAATTCCATGCTTATCCTCTGTATATTGTTCCAGATTTGATGGATGTCCTGGAGTACCAATTCCATGCTTATCCTCTGTATATTGTTCCAGATTTGTTGGATGTCCTGGAGTACCTATCCTTACTCGCCCAAGAAAACATAGTAAATTACTTGAAACAATTTTTATTCTCTCCGTATATCTCACGCTACCTAACTACATGACTAAGCACAGAGAGGAAGAATCTGCTGAGGGCTTTATCTCAGCAGGTGAGCACCAAGCACGCGGCAACAAACTTTTGTTAACTTTAAAACAAAAAAATTGTTCCTTTGGCATTTTCAACCAGACCAATCTACAAATATCCATCAGTGAAACTTACTGTAATTCTCCAGGAAAGAGTGTGCACTTGAACCCAGCACCTTCCATACCTGGCCGCACACTATTCGGTCAAACTTTTCAGGATCAGCTCCTCACCGTGCTACTTCCATTTTACACAGCATGTCCGCACGAAACACTACTCTTTCCAGTCCGCGGCCTTTACTATTTAGATTTTGGTATTCAGTAGGGCCCATGGGCATTCCGCAAAGGCCATCACGCTTGTGCATGGAGTGCACCCAGAACCAACAGGGGCAACACTTAAACTTATGGGATGTGCCCCTGGAGTTTTACTGCCGAGTATGTTTGCCAGCATTAAGAGCTCCACTGGCGACTGTCAGTAACCCATGACTGGTCGGTTGCCGACCTGCCGACAGGTCAATCCGTCAACCTCTACTGTTGACACCCGTTGGCCTCTACTGGTTGCCCACCCATAGGCCTCTACCGGTTGACCACCTGGCGGCCTTCGCAAGGCTGGCGGAACCAGTTGACCACCTGGCGGCCTTCGCAAGGCTGGCGGTTTCAGGCCGCATACGCAAGAGAGAGAGAGAGAGAGAGAGAGAGAGAGAGAGAGAGAGAGAGAGAGAGAGAGAGAGAGAGAGAGAGAGAGAGAGAGAGAGAGAGAG